TTTATATAAGAGATTTAAAAACTCTTGATTGCATGTGTTCATACATTAAATTTACATGAGGAAGATCATGGAAAACTTTATAACAAAAACTAAACCACAATTCAGAAGAAAACAAAATATTCATGAAGTGTTATATGTAAAAGTAGTGTCAGACTTTATTAAGAATCTATCACCTCATTTTATCTATGTATAAAATACTTATACATACATATTTATAAGTATGTACATGTATACATATGTATACACTGAGGCGGATGCAGTACTAGTTGGCTCACCCTCAATTTTTTTTAAAAAACATTAATATGTACAATTTCTGGATTTTGGTCCACCCTAACAGAAATATTAATGGACAAAAATATTAATGTGCAATTAATTTTTATTTTGGTCCACCCTAACAGAAATTTCTGGATCCGCCCTTGGGTATACATACATATGTATACATAGGTATGTATAATATACCATAGGAATATCTAGGTATATATTGATGAAATATGTATAGCTATATATAGATATACATAGGTATGTATAATTATATACGGATATACATAGGTATAAATAGATATACATAGTTATGTACAGGGTACACTTAACTATGTATACTTGTGTATACATAGATAAAATATGTATAAGTATGTATAGGTATACATACATAGGTATGTATAACATACAATAAATATACCTAGATATACATAGATGAAATATGTATATGTATGTACAGATATACATAGGTATGTATAATTGTACATAGATATACATACATATGTTTACATAGGTATGTATAACATACCATATTTATCTCTAGGTATACATAGATGAACTGTGTACCTACAATTTTCCATCTATTTCAAAATTTATAGAGGGTTTTATGTAATTGTCCAAGGGGCTAAAAAAAAACCAAAAGGGTTTGGACCCGGGCCTTGGAGGAGGGACCGAGCCCTCCTCCTTAGGTCTGGTCCGGTTTTGGTACCAGGCCTGCTAGGACCGGTCCTAAGACCAAGTTTTTGGGCCGGGTTTTTGGACCCGGTCCCAAATGCCTAGCTCTATATATAGGTATACACATGTACCTATGTATATGTATGTATACATACATATATGTGTATCCCTGTATGCCTAATATGACAATATCTAGCCTCTCCACAAGCTGCTTATCTTCTCACAAATCTTCTTGTAGAGTCAAGTCTCCTTAATCTCTCAGAGGAGCCAATTATAGGTCTCCTTGATCGAAGTGGCGTGATGATAAATTAGAAAAGAAGACACCAAAGCCCATTAAATGAAAATGGTATACGCAACACAACGAGGGACGATAATGGGCACCAAAGAAACTGAAGAAAGAAACCCTGTTATAAAAGCAATACGCTTGAGAGTTATTGATAACATAAACTAAAATTATACATATATACATATATGCACAAATTGTACATATACACGCATATATANTTTATTTTGGCCCATCCTAACAGAAATTTCTGGATCTGCCCTTGGGTATACATACATATGTATACATAGGTATGTATAATATACCATAGGAATATCTAGGTATATATTGATGAAATATGTATAGCTATATATAGATATACATAGGTATGTATAATTATATATGGATATACATAGGTATAAATAGATATACATAGTTATGTATAGGGTACACTTAACTATGTATACTTGTGTATACATAGATAAAATATGTATAAGTATGTATAGGTATACATACATATGTATACATAGGTATGTATAACATACCATAAATATACCTAGATATACATAGATGAAATATGTATATGTATGTACAGATATACATAGGTATGTATAATTATACATAGATATACATAGGTATACATACATATGTTTACATAGGTATGTATAACATACCATATTTATCTCTAGGTATACATAGATGAACTGTGTATTTACAATTTTTCATCTATTTCAAAATTTATAGGGGGTTTTAGGTAATTGTCCAAGGGGCTAAAAAAAAACCAAAAGGGTTTGGACCCGGGCTTTGGAGGAGGGACCGAGCCCTCCTCCTTAGGCCTGGTCCGGTTTTGGTATCAGACCTGCTAGGACCGGTCCTAAGACCAAGTTTTTGGGTCGGGTTTTTAGACCCGGTCCCAAATGCCCAGCTCTATATATAGACATACAGGGATACACATATATGTATGTTATATATGTATATCCCTGTATGCCTAATATGACAATATCTAGCCTCTCCACAAGTTGCTTATCTTCTCACAAATCCTCTTGTAGAGCCAAGTCTCCTTAATCTCTCAGAGGAGCCAATTATAGGTCTCCTTGATCGAAGTGGTGTGATGATAAATTAGAAAAGAAGACACCAAAGCCCATTAAATGAAAATGGTATACGCAACACAACGAGGGACAATAATGGGCACCAAAGAAACTGAAGAAAGAAACCCTGTTATAAAAGCAATACGCTTGAGAGTTATTGATAACATAAACTAAAATTATACATATATACATATATGCACAAATTGTACATATACACGCATATATATATATATATATATATGACATAAATATAGGTATACACAGGTATACATAGATGAAACATGTATAGGTATGTATAGATATATATATATAGACACACACGCAACCAGATACATAAAGGAGGATAAGTAGCTTGTCACGAATCTTCTTGCAGAGCCAAGTCTCTTTAATCTCTCAGAAGAGCCAATTATAGGTCTCCTTAATCAAAGTGGCATGATTAGGGGTTTATACGAGCTGGGCTGAGTATCTAGACACTCAAGCTCGGTTTGTGATGAACAGTGTCGAGTTCAAGCTGAGCTCGTTCGAGCTTGAATACTTGGGCTCGAGCTCGAGCTCGCGAGTATGGATGGGTACGTGCTCGAGCTCGAGCTTCGAGTTTATTGTGAGAATGTGGCTGTTTTTCATTTTAAAAACTTGAAAATAAAAAAAGTTACAAAACTTGCAATTTGACCATTCGAGCGTGATGAGGCTTGCGAGCCTATCGAGCCGAGCTTCACCCTGATCGAACTCGGCTCGACCTCTTAAACAAGCCACTCGAGCTCGACTCAATTGACTTCAAGTCGAGTTCGAGCTTTTCACGAGCTGAGCTTGAGTAGCTCGCGAATTGCTCGACTCGCTTCTCATCTCTAGGCATGATGATAAACTAGAAAAGAAGACACCAAAGCCCTTAAAATGAAGACGGTATATGCAACATAACGAGGGACGATAATGGACACCAAAGAAACCAAAGAAAAAGACCTTGTTATGAAAACAATAACGCTCGAGAGTTGTTGATAACATGAACTAAAATTATACGTATATACATATTTTATGTATACATAAATTATACATATACACGCATATATACATATGTGATATAAATATATATTAATTTTTTGTATCATTGAAATAGTACCTCTTGTTCTATTTTTTTTTTTTTTTCACCATAATATATTTCAAGGGTTACACATATTAACAAAACATTGAGATGATATTGATATAGATGTATATTGACTTATCATATCGTTGATATGATATTGTTGGATTATACATTAATTTTAGACTATGCTGAATGACATTTTTCCACCCAAAGTTTAGCGAATATACATTTTCCCAACATCATTAAAATTTAGATGTTAGTTTTAATGGCAAATAGGCATTCTTGTCAGTTCGCATGATATATAATAGGTTTAATATTACTTTACACCCTTAAATTACAAACACATAATAATTACCTTCACCGACTTTCATTTAAACCCCATATCTTTAATTTCTATAATCACAATAGAGGTTTGACTTTTAAAGTATGTGTGTTTCTAAAAAAAATTAATATTTTATGTATTATTTTTGAAAATTGTAATAATATTTATCAATTAAATATTTATAGAACTACAAAAAGTATTTAATTAAAATTGTATATATTTTATGAAATTATATAAAAATATAATTTTTGAAAAAAAACTGAAAAAATTGTAAAAAAGAAGTAAAAAATCTGAAAATAAAAAAATTATGAAAATTTGAAAAAAAAATTAAAAAACTGAAAAAAAAAAAAATCAGTTGGCTAGAATAACGCCCAACGATTCCAACTAAATAGCACCTAGCGATTCCAGTTGAATTGCACCTAATTGGGTGCAATTCCCACATATTGACACTCGACCATGTGCGATTCGGTCGGAATCACACCCAACCTGGTTTGATTCGGCCTAAGTTGTACTTGGCCTAAATCGCATCCGTCTAGGTGTCATTCGACTAGTGCAATTCCACCCAATGGCTTTTTTTTTTCTTTTTTTTTTTTTTAGTTTTTGAAATTTTTTATTTATTTTAATAATTGACTTTATTTTTAAATTTATTAACCCTAAAATTAACATAAGCCAAACTGTGGTGAAAAATACATTAATAAAGTTTGGCTGAGAAAATGTTATTCAACCTCATTAAAATTATAAAGTCAAATAATAAATGGTATTATAGTCTTTTCTTAGCTTTACCCCTCGGATCACGTAATAGATTCCATTGACCAAGATTGATGATGGGTGGGAAAATGCTTTTTTTCAAATTTTTTTTTTTGGTAAATTTTTTTTTTTTCTTTTTCTTTTGGTTTTTGTTTTTTTTTTTTTTTATTTTTTTTTGTTTTCTTTATTTTTTAAAAAAAAAAAATTGTACATTCTTCAAACTTTGAGTGGGAAAATTTCATTTAGCCTTTAGACTTTTTCTTTTGGACTAACCTTTTTCAAAGCAAAACATCTAATTTCTCTTGTTTTTTCTTTAGATTAATCAAAGACGATTGGTAATTAATTAATACATGCTGGTCCTTGCTTATTAATAATATCTTCTTAACCCACACGTTAACCAAATCTCTTATATTATATATATGCCTCTCCAGACATCCCTTCACCTCACTTGCACGAAAATCCCTTTCTTTAGTATAAGTTAATTTCAGTTCTTTGCTTCACAACTTTAACTTCTTTTGCCCACTTTATTAAGTTTTCCTTTGAGAACATCAATAATCTCCATTTTTGCCAATGGCGAGTGCCATAAAACTAGGGTGTGCAGCCATTGTTCTGATGTTTATATCAAACTTGCAACAGTGTGTTATAGGGGCTCCACAGGTGCCTTGCTATTTCATTTTTGGGGATTCTTTGGCCGATGATGGCAATAACAACGCCCTTCCAGCATTGGCAAAAGCAAATTACCCACCATATGGGATTGACTTTCCCAAGGGACCGACAGGAAGATTCACCAATGGTGAAACCGTATTTGACATAATCAGTATTGTCTTCAACTTAAACTTATAATTATCATACACTTTTAATTAATGTATGACATTAAGTCTATAGTTATGAAAAGTATGGCAATATTTTTTTAGTTTAAGGCCTTAATATTTATATGTTTCTCAAATTGAATTTATTTAGTCTTTATATATACAAGTGTTTTTTGCTTTTGTTTTTGCTATAAATATACCCTTTATTAATGGATCTTACGTTATTACTGAAACTTTTCTCAATATTGCAGCCAAACTTCTGGGTTTTGATAATTATATTCCACCCTTTGCCATTGCGGGGGCCTCTGACTTCCTGAAAGGTCTTAATTATGCATCTGGCGCAGCTGGAATTCTCAGTGAAACTGGGAGAACTCAGGTATACTCATAAACGCAAATACATATATAATGATTGGTCCAGAATTTGAGAATTTGCTTACAATTCTCTTTGCAGGGTGCGCGTATCAGTTTATATGAACAGATAGTAAATCATGAATTAACTGTCAAACGTATCAGTGCCAAACTTGGAAGTGTAGATTCAGCTACTCGATACCTAAACAAATGCCTATATACTGTTGGAATTGGTAACAACGATTACTTAAACAACTATTTCTTGCCCCAATATTACGGCACCAGCCGCCTGTATAACCCGAGCCAATATGCACGAGTTCTTGTTCGTGAATACGCTAAACAATTAAGGGTTAGTAAGTAACACACCATTTATTTTTCTCAACTTTCTTTTTCATGTCTAACTCTGTCTCTTTTCTAGATTTTACTCGACAACGGAGCAACAAAGATTGCGTTGTTTGGACTGGGAAGCATTGGTTGTATCCCGTATGCAACTACTTCGTTTCCAGTAAATAGCAATACTGGATGTGTAGAGAACTTTAACCATGCGGCGCAGCTGTTCAACGACAATCTCAAGTCACTGGTTGATGAACTCAATACCAATTCCACTGATGCAAAATTTATTTATGTAAACGTTTCCGGGATCACACCGAATGTGTCAGGTTTTACAGTCTTCAACAGTGGTTGCTGCCAAGTGATAAATACTACTGGTTTATGCATTCCCTTTAGAACTCCATGCAAAAATAGAAGTGAGTATGTGTTCTGGGACTCATTCCATCCTACTCAGGCTTGGAATCAAAAGATTGCACCTCGAACATACAATGCTTCTGAACCGTCTGATGCTTATCCATACGATATAAGTCATCTGGTTCAGTCATGAATCAGGGAACTAGTTGTATGAGTTAAATAAATCAGTTTCTACAATTATGTCAGAATTGTTGGAAGCTTTGCATCATTTCCTGATGGATTAGTTACATTACAATAAGTTTATTAATAATAAATACCAACATTACATGACAATCTAATTTGTAAGTTTAGAGCATTGTTAAGTTTTTGAGATAATTTCTGCGCTTTCCAATTAATTTGCATAGACATTATTGACATTAATAGCAGAGAGAATACTCTCTAGGGATGTCGTATTTGCAGAATTTAGGGTTTGAATGGCTATAAATAATAAATTAAGATTATATATTATGGAGACAAGTGCATAGAAAAAGAGAGATGGTTCAAGACACAATTTTCGGCTTAAAATTAGGCATTTTATATTTTTTGAAAAATAATTAATTTTTTCTGAATTTGTATTTACTTGAAAAAAAAAAAAAAAAAAAAAAAAAAAAAAAAAAAAAAAAAAAAAAGAAATGTGTTGATGCCAAACTCCCATCGGCTAAAAGACAAGGGCATTGGTTGTTTATATAGTATAAGAACACCTAAGACTTTTTCTGGATAAACCCATGAAGGTTTGTCTGTAGCCTAGCCTGTGGGCCTAAAGTGGAGAATACCTCTGTAAACTCATCTATCATATAACTGGAGACGGTATTTCAATAGTGGACAATAGAAGGAGAGCCTGGGTTTACCTAAACTAAGCGTGCCAGTTTGTATCCACGCCAAAACTCCGAAGTCCCTCGTTTGGGGGGTTATGTTGATGCCAAACTCCCAAAACTTGAGAAAAAAGATTACCAAACAAAGTTTATTTTATTTATACAAAAGTTTTGAACATGTTACGTGTAAATGTGGACTTTCCGTTTTTAAGTAAAAAATTTGGAAAGCATACGTACTCAATTAAATGATATTAAGTAAAATTTTAACTTAAATGGAAATAATAAAGGAGACCTTAGTTGAGGGGGAACTGGGGAAACCTAACGTAATGACCTAACTTGCCTACCCTTTAGCTGGAACAGTGAAACATCATAAGACCTAAATTGAATATGGACAATTCCCTCGTTCTCATTCATCAACACATTCTTTCCCTTCGATAATATACGTGAAACACTTATTCATATATTTTTTTTTTATTTTTTTTTTCTTTTTCATACATCACAATCATCAACGTACATGATTCATAGAATAAATATTTTTATGTACTAATATACATTTGATGTAACTAATAAATCCGTTGATTTTGAGATGGAAACGACGATATTAAGACATCAAAGTGGCATGCCATATAATATATATCTTTCATGATTGAAAGAGAAGGTGATGCATAATTTCTTTTTCTTTTTTTATTTTTATGACCGGGGTGTGCAAATCTCGACTATTTTGCCGAAACCTTGGAATAATTAGTCAAATACAAGCTCTAGTAATCACCCCTAGTAACAGTCGTAGGGATTCAAACTCGAAAAACTATGTAAATTTATATCTTTCTTTACTCTTTTATCATCGAATAATGTTATATTTACAACTGAGTTATATAAACTGACAAAAAACAAAGGATAAAATAGTTATTTTACACAAATATTGTATAATTTTTGTCTGTTTGTTTGACTCAGTAGTAAGCAAAATATTATTGTTTATCATTAGATAACCTAGTGGTATTTAGTGATAGATAATCTCACTTGTCCATCAATGCAATAAAAAGAAATTAAATGATAGACATTAAATGCAAAATCAAATTAATATCTAGAACAGAGACAAAACTAGAGAAATATAATAGAATAAAATGCGCGTATTCAAATTCAAGGTTAATTAACGATACAAAACAATCAATGAAGAATTCATGAGTTTATGTATATACAAGCTCTCTTTGGATAATAGTGGGTGAGAAATCCACCAATGGATATAAGAGTGAGACAAGCCCATATTAATTGAAGCTATCTTTGGATGCTCAGTAATATTTTGTTTATAACTGAGTCATACAACCAGCCAAAAATTATATAAAATTTATGTAAAATGATTACTTTATCCTCTGTTTTTTTGCAGGTTGTATGACTCGGTCGTAAGTATATGATTGCTCTTAGATGTTAAGTGGGAGGAAAGGCAACAAGATTTCTTGTAATAGTTGGGTATCCAAAGTGGGCTTGCAATTTGGATAACCCAAAAGTGAAATATGAGGAGCCTAAAGGAAAATCTACATCTCATCCATTTTAGTCTAATTGATAAGTGAAATCGGAGAAAAGCTACCCTATGTCTGTGGTACCAGTTCATATTTGTATGATTATATCTAGTTTATTTTAAAGAGAATATTACCCCCAACACCCTAAGTTATAGCTAAATTAATGTAAGCCCTGTAATTTCTAGGAAACCTAACCTAAACCCAAACTCAAACCCAAACCCTTTATCTTCTCATCCTCTCATCTCCAAAACCTAACCTATTCATCTTCTCCATCTCAATGTTTGATGTAAGCCTAATTTCAAATTAAATTTTAAATTTATGATTTACTTTCATTTATCTTTAATTGTTTCATTTGTTTTTAAAATAAATAAATTAATAGTTTATGATACCTATTCATCTTCTCCGTCTCAATTTTTGATGTAAGCCATGTCTTAGAGGAATTTCTTCAAACACTTGGTGGGTCAACTTCTTTCCTCTACCAGATTTCTTTCCTTTCTTTTAATATAATCCAACCATGGCAGACGTCTACCCTGCTTAAATTGAACCAATCTCCTATGTCCCATTCAACACAAACACTCTTGTTGATAAAACCAACCCACCACCATCATCTCCACCACAACCCGCCTCTAAAACGTATCCCCCTGTTTGTTTAACTTTTCAAACTCTAGGTTTGTTTGGTATATTATTTGAAATAATATTCTATTATGAATAGGATATGATAAGATTTAAGCAAATAGGATATGATTCCGAAAATGTGTTTAATATATTTTTGAAAAATATTTTAAAAAAATATTTTAACTATTTTAACCTCTTACATTTGTTAATTTAACTAAACACCCACTACAATAAAAGTTTATAGATTAACAAAAACACTTTCATCATCTATCCAACCGACTGTCGACAGCTGACCACCACTGCCTTATGAGGATAACGGTGAAACTAATTCAGATCCTAATGCCAACAAATCTCCTCCTTATGATGTGCCTTAATCTGATTTCAGTCTAGGCATAAATCAATGTGAATCTAGTCCTCTAAAAAGAACCATTGAGAACAAAGTTTTAATGCGGAAATCGATAACGTTAATGAGTGTAGAGCCCTGTCTATTGTTCACAATGAAGCTAAAGACTCTCAGGTTATTGTTGATTTATCCAGGTTCCAAAATGAGATTGGTAATGATGGCAATGAAAATTGTAATATTGAAGACCTTGACAGAGATCCTTTAGAACACAAATCTTTTATGCAATAAGTTGCATTGGCTGTGGAATGTAGACACAGATCTTTTAGAATCCATGGGATGTTTGCAATTCACATATCTTTAGAGAAGGGAATAGTGCTGCTGACGAACTTGCAAATATGGGTTTCCAATGTCAGGACTTTACTTGGTGGAACTCTACCCCTACTGATATCATGGGCGTCCTGCATCATCAAACTTGGGTCTTCCTCATTATCGGTTCATTTATCTTTTAGCTTAAGAATTTTTTTGTTCATACATCTTGCCAATTTCCCTGATGCGAAATTTGTTTATGTTAACATCTATGGGATCATGGCGTCCGGCATTGTTCCTTCGGCCGGTATGTATCTCACTTCAACTCTTAGTTTTGTAAATTTTTGGTGGCATTAATCGACATGAATGTTACGTAATCTTGTGTTTGCATTACATACAGGTTTTACCGTCTTAAACAAACACTGCTGCGAAGTGGTAAATGCCGCCAGGACAGGCCAGTAAAAACAAACACTGGGCAAAGGCAACTACTCCAGTAAAAAGACGCCAGGCTAGGGAGAAACCACTACCACCGGCAATACAAATAGGGCAGCCCACACCCTTTGTAGCCTACCAGATATAACTCCAGCTGCAGGGAGCTAAGACCCTCATTAACACTGTCCAAATCTCCAGGGGCAGCATCTCCACAACAGCTCCAGATTGGGAAGACATAAGAATACAGTTTTAAATTCTCAGGAATGACATTTTTATTTCTAACTTGGTCAGGAAACCCCAATTTTACTAAAGAAAGATCAAGCCCGGTAAGAGAGGATTAACGTGTGTCCTAACATTAATATATATATATATATATATATATATATATATATAACTTTCAATACATTGACATACTATATATTTTATCTTTTAATATGCATGCGTTAAAACAACCCATTTATATTTATGCAATACAAGATATTTAAAATCAAGCCATAGCATGTAGATATATGAAGCAGGCTACTAATTAAAAATATTAATTTAAAGCTACAACCAGCTGGGGTTCTTCTGGTAGGTTTGTGTGGCACAATAAGCAATAAGGGGCAATGACAGAGTTTGGCGTGTCCATTATCTTATACATAAATTTAACTCATTTGGAGGAAATTTAATTCAAGCTAAAATATAGAAATAATTACATATTCTAAGTATATTGCATACAATGTTTAAGCCATGCAAATTGTTCAATATTTGATTAAACTAGTTATCTTTAGAAACAGTAATAGATCCAAAAATTTCTATTAGGGTGGACCAAAATAAAAATTAATTACACATTACTATCCATTCACATATAAAAAGTTTTTGGAGATCCCCACCCTTCAATACGGGACCAAAAAGATTTTGGTGACCTACACGTATATACAACTAACTAACTTTATTACTCATTACTGGCCCTTCTCCTAACTTCTATACTATTGACTAGCTTAGTCAATTTATTGGTATAACATAATGACATTGTTATTTCTTTTATATATTTCTTCAACGAAAATTTCTACGAGACCGAACCTATCATGGATTGTTCCCGATTTGGTTCATTTTATTTGGATCAAACAAGTAGTTTGTGCACTTCAATATT